ACGACGGAAGGGCTAACCGGGGCCAGCATTGGGTCGCCCACCGTGTTGCACAGCGCCTGCGCTACTCCTGTCACGCCACTGACTTCAAAGTTCCGGGTGATAGGGGGAGCCGTCTGGACCTCGCTTACTGGCTCCCGCTGGCGTTTTTTGGTTCTTCTTGATTCTTCTGCGTGGGCGAGTATTCGGGACAGGTAAACTTAGTGTAGCCTGGCCAACTGCACTCCCAGCAGAAAACTTTGTCGGCATCAGGACCAGATTCCTTATTTTTGTTTTTATCTGATTTGGGGGCGACCTTCAGAGCACGACTGCCCGATGGCCTTCCCCCACCTCTCCAGCCAGCTCGGCCGCGGCCACGGTAATTGCCTCGAGGAGTGTTACCATTGGAGCCGTTCCGTGATTTCTCTGTCGCTGCCTCCAATTTTTCACCGGAGTTCTTGCCATTTACCGGGGGGGTCGGGGGCCTGTTGAGGCCAAACTCCTTGGCTTTCTTCTCAAAAAATTTTGACATTAGCTTCTCCAGCTCGGCTTCGTGAGCTGGGGAAGCCTTGTCTTTCAAAGACGACAGGTTCACTGGCCTGGCCTTAGCAGATTTGGTCCGTGGCTTATAAGCCACTTCGGGCCACATACTTTGGTCTGCCGCAGGCGGTGGCTTCCACTGTCCCTGTTCATCGTTTTCGGCCTCTTGGGCCCTGGTCAGTAGCAGCTGCACGTCAGTGAGATTGTCCCTGAAGTATTTTAACTTCTTCTTAAGTGGAGGGAGCATATTGTCAATGATGAGGTTGATTTGATCCCGAATGTCCCAAGGCGGATCCATCCTTCTTAGTATGGTGAGTAGCGAGACTGCGTATTCCAGTACTAGTTAATCGGCGCCTTGGGTGCGCAAGTGAGCCTCGACCGTCATAGTCCTTTTATTTCTTTTGGACTTGCTGTAGCAATGAGAGCCGCTCCCTTGAAATCGGCGAACGTGGACCAGGCAAGCCTCATGGCACGATACCAAAAGAGAGCTGACTTCTCGAATAAGGGGTCATAGAATCGAGTAACTCCTCGTCCGCTACTTTATCTAATCGTTTGTTGTCCTCAATCCTCTCTAGGAACTCCTCAATACTAAGGTCTTCGCCTCCGGAAAATTTGATTTTCCATTCTCTGACTGTTTTTCCTAGATGTTTGCTAGGAAGAAAGCGAGACGAAGAGTTAAATGTCGTGGCCTCTGTGCCATTAGCAGGCGCGCCTCTTGGCCCTTGCTGTGTCGGCGGCACTGGTGTAGCGCTGGGCAAGTCCCCCCTCCCCTAGCACGAGCTTACGGGAGTGAGCGAGCTTGCGTAAGAGGGCCCAGGGACGCTAGAAGGGGCCGACGAAAAGTTTGGCGACGGCTGTGATGCAGTCGCCGATGAAGGTTTAGTCGTCGAATGAAAGATCGGCGCTTGAGGATCGAGAGACAACGGCATGTTATATTTCTCCGAGCCGTTGAGCTGGTTTGATACATCGTAATAGTTTAATTCGAATGTATCCGCGAATTGAACATTTTTATTTTGGTAGGCATCTAATCTAGCTTGCTCTGCAGCTTGTTGTCGGGTTGTGGCCACTACTTGTTTTAACTGCTCTTGCAGCTCTTTATTGAGTGCGGCTTCACTCTCTTTTTCTTTTTGTAGCCTGGCTAGGTTAGCTTGTAACCCAGCAGCTAGGTTTTTGTAGTAAGTGGTCAATGCCTTTAAATTCTCTCTTTCGATATCCTGAGCTTCTATATGCCTCTGGGCCTCAGCCTCTTTCCGCCAAGTTCTGTTTAACTCGCGCGCGATGGCCGGGGAGGCATATTCTACTGTACCGTTTGGCAAGCCTATTCGTACTGTCTTGCTGTGTTCGGTTGTTGCTGTCGTCGTTGCATGCGTGTAAGTCGACACGTATGTCGAAGCCGGCGCGCCTGTCATAAAGATCACTTTTTGCGCGCCGTGTGATGTTGCGATTGCCGGGTCGGCTGAAGCATTGTGCTCGTACAAGCCGACAGTCTGTGTTATCATTGATTCTTGTTGCTGGATCATATCTGTTACGTTGCGCGTCGCATCCGCGCCTAACGTAAGTGACATATCGTTTTGTGTGCCTGTCGGCGAACTCGTCCGGATATTCTCTCGAGCGCTATTGCCCGTCTCGAATTTTGAATTTTCAAAATGCTCGAGAAGTTCATTCGCCTCTATGGCCGCGCGCAAGTCCGCGCAAACTTCTTTTGGCAGGGCCTCTGACTCGAAGAATATACGGATGAGGTCTTCGCGTCTTTCGTATGCCATATTTTCATCCTGGTTTTCGATTGCTACAAAATCTTCTGCGGTATCATCGCCGTTCAATCTACGATATAAGCGGTTCGCGCGTTCGAATAGTGTACCGTTTGTGTGTAGTTCCAGCTGAGTTAGTATACAATCCTCGTCCGTGCTAGAAAGGTCTTTTATCCACTTGCAAATTTTTTCGTCAATTTGTTCTTAAAATATTGTTAATTCGCTCAGCGACCAATTGGAGGCCATTATTATAAAATAGAGCTGTGCTATATGCAACAAATAAACAAAACAGAAGAAAAAAAAAGGAACGAAAAAGGCAATGCCAACATGGCGTGTATTTAATAAGTCAACTAGACTACACGGTACAGTTAGTGTAACAAGAAAAAAACTAACGCGTAGGAAATTTTATACTTGAATACACTCGTAACAACAACAGTGGAGAACGAAGGAGAGGAAAAAAAAAGAAAATGACAACAAGTTGCTTTTAGAAAGACAAAAAAAAGTCTAACTGTTGTACAAGCTGAGCGCTGCGACTTACAAACTATATCTGTTATGTGTGTATACGCATGTATATATATACACACATAACCATGCGCACGTTACGTGAATTGACTGGCCGGCGAACGAAATTCGGTATAGTCGATTATCGTACTCTACTCGTAATTCGGCCAAGCCTTGAGGACGTACGACTGAAATTTTCTGTATATAAAATTTTGTTTCTAAATGTCTCAAGGCCAAGTTCGGAGCTTATGAGTGTCGCGCGGCGTATATGCTTCGCTTCGTATTTACTACTTTGCGCGGCCTGACTCTCGCGCGTAAACAAAGGGGGAAGGCGCGCACGTTGTTGTTGTCCGCGCCGAGTTTCGAATTCCATAGGCACTGGAATTCTCGAAAAATGTCCGCGCTCACAAAGATTTTCTCTCGTCGCATTATCTGCCACACAAAGAAAAGTTGCCAAATCAGAGGTTGGGCGCCAATATAACGGGGTTTTGGCTAACCCGCCGTTATAATCGAAAGGATAGATTAATTCACCCGTCGGCTTAATAAGTTACTAATGCCACGGGGCTAGTACGCTGGTGCATGTGTGGCCAAGCCTTTCAACCAGCCGCAATATCAAGCAGCCTCGTGGCCCGCGTAGAGCGTAGCAGGTAGCGGTGGCTGGAAAGCGCGAAAAGTAGTGACGAGCGCAGAGAATTTGCCAAGGATTGGGAGTGAAAGTCAGGCGCAAAGTCAAAGAAACGCAGAGAATACGAAGGATAAAGATAGTTTATATAAATTATTAAGGAGAATGCGTACAGTAGTAAATCGGTAAAGATAGAGAGAGAAGCGAGCAGGCAAGCGAGAGAGAGTTAATCGAGTCGGTACTTACAATGAGGCGACAATGGCCAGGCCCTCCGCACATTAAACACTCGCTCGCTGAACATCCTTCCCGGACATCGGTTGCAGTGGTGCCGGTTGCAGTGGGCTACCTAGCACTATGTCCACGCACGCACCGTCGTGTCAAAGTGCCGCACCACTGCACGCACCCGCGAACAAGCTAAGGCAATGCCAGGTCGAAAGTCCGAATCCGCAAAAAGGCAAATCCTTTAGCACGCGCTCAAACACGTGTCGCCCGTGTTACGTCCGCCAGTCAATTACCGCGGGAGGCGTCCCCACTCTTTCATCGCGCTTTTCGGCAGCGCGACCACACTCATACACGCATACACGCGGACGCGACTCTCCCTGCTTATAGGCTCGTTAGTAGACATGCCGGGCTCTCTCTCTTACCTTCGACGTTGTCGGCTGCCGCAGGCTGCTGTATAATATAATGTGAATTCAAATATAATATAAGTATATGAATTGTGTACATGCATGCGTGGGAAGAGAGAGACATAACGAATGAATTAAATTCGTTATAATATGTATATCATGAAGAAATTAATGAAATCAAAAATATATTGAAATAGATCATTTACACTAATTAATGATTGTGAAATTGTGAAATGATGAAAATACATGGCTTACAAAAGTAACATCATGGGCCACCCTCGTGTGTTTAAAAGACATGATCGCATGTATTATCACGTTTACGTTTATATATTAATTATTAATATAAGTATATAATAATATATAATAAGAAACACTTACCAAAACAGCAGAGTGTGGTTGTATATACCTTTGATTGATATTATTATCTATAGGAATAGCACTATTATGATTAAACAAAAAAATGTGTAGGAATAGCAATATTAAGATTAAACAAAAAAATGTGCTTGGAAACAACGGCAACTATCAGCACTACAGCACTAGACTCAGCACTCAGCCAGACTGGCGTGAACGACTGTACAGTGTCTGTCCGCAGACACCAATTTTCGACAGACATGCGCAATAGCGTATGTGGACTGTTGACGACTGTGGAGTGTGGAAAGATGAAAAGGAAAAAAAGTTTGGACCATCGCACACATAATGAATAATGAAATAATAATTTTTAATAAACAATCGAGCAAATAATATATTTTAATATATAAGTTAGGATTAGGATGACAAATTTTTGCAACTCTTTATTATAATTCTGTAGTTATTTCCGTAAAAAAAAATTATTTTCACCTACATGACACGAAAGCTGTTGTGTATAAGGTCGCGCGAGCTGCGCCTTCGGCATTCATGCCACAGGTCGCTGCCGCGACCTTTGATTTATTTCGTTATTAATTTATAATATTTTTAAATTTCTAAAATTATAAGTCTTTAATATTTTACCTTTCAGAGAATTTTTTTCAGCTTTCCGATGATTCCAAAAAGCTCGAAACGGTGCTATTCCTGTTCCAGGACCAACCAGTATGATCGGTAAAGATTTGTCTTCTGGCATATGGAAGTTGGGTGCACTGTAATATACACGTGTATGTATATATACATATGATTGAAAAAGTGATGGTTATGCATTGGTTTGTGTGCTATTCAGATATATTCATCAAATTAACTTTATGTATACTTGTATATTACTTTTAAAACCAATAACTTCGTAGACACAACTGTTAAATAATATTTATGTGTATAGTTGCTGGTTGAAAGACGACGCATGCATTGGCGACCTTCTCTCTAACTATACGAGCAGGTGTCCTGCGCGGTACTTCTATTCGCAAAATGAAGAGTTTTCACCTTATTAAAATACTTCCCTCTAAGGATCGATAAAGTGTTTTTTGTGTCATATTTTACATGCAAGAAAAATATTTCTCCGTAGTATTCTCACAAAACCTAACCACTGGAGGTCCCCAGAATACATTTATAGATACAAAATTCGACTTTTTCCTAAATATATTTTTCTCCGTACCTGTACATGTTTGATTCAAGACCAATAATATGGGACTATCACTCTTACATAGACTTTAAAGTCAAACATATGAGGGGTGTTAGAAAAGTAAGGTGACTTTTTGCTGAGACATGACTGTGGTGTTAGTTTTGGTAAAAAAATCTCTCAAAAACAACGATGAGTAAGCAGGTGCATTATCGTAATGTAAAATTCACGAAATGTTTTTCCAAAGTTCCGGACGTATCTTGCGTATTGCTTCTCGCAAACGACGCATAACTTTAAGGTAATACTTCTTTTGACCGTACGACCTTATTGTAAGAATTCCTAATGAACTACGTTACGGTATTCAAAGAAGACCGTGAGCAAAACTTTGACATTTGATCGAACTTGGCGTGCCTTTTTGGGTGTTGGCTCTTGTAGGGTCTTCCATTGAAACAATTGAACTTTAGTTTCGACATCATAATCATATACCAACAATCATCAGTTATAACCCTTTTGAAAATATCAAAACTTCATTCGCTTCATTCAACATCTCTTGAGCAATGGTCATGCGACGGTTCTTTTGATCAAAATTAAGCAATTTTGGAACAAATTTCGCAGACACACGTGTCATGCCTAAAATATCGAAAGAATATCATGGCATGAGCCAACTAATATGCCAACATCTTCTGGAACTTCTGTAATAGTGATTCGACGATTTTTCAACACAATTTCTTTCACTGCTTTAATGTTTTCATTTATTGTTGATGTGCTGGGACCTCCAGGGCGTCTTCAACATTCTCCCGATCTTCTTGGAATAGCTGATACACATTTTTCTTACTCAGAGTAGACACACCGTATGCAATTATAAATATTTCAAGAGCTTTAGCACTGGATTCCATTTTTCACACAAAATTTTATGCAAACTCTATGCTCCTTTTTTTTCAATAGAAGAAAATCGTCGAGCACACCAAACACTTCTAATCTCTGACGCCTCTGCCTTAAAAATAACACGTGGTATATAGGGGCAATTCTTGGCTATTTCAAACAGTTTAAAACTTCAAATCACCAATTTTGTTCAAAGTTGGTAGACTTGTTATCTATACAGAGGTCAACATCTGTGCAGAGTTTTAGATCAAAATATTGATAAGGGGCCGACTTATCAACCGTTGAAAAAATATTGGACTTTTTTTTATTAATTCGGTTTCTCGGAGACTAATAAAGTTATGGACATGATTCTTTTTTTAAAAGACGCGGAAAGAGTTTCACTTTTAAAATGTAAATAATAAAATACCAAATCATTTATTTATGCCATTGTTATAAACAATTTTTTCAAAAAATCGACGATATCTCAAAAAACGATATTTTTTTTTTTTTATTTTTGTACCATCATGTTCCTTGTCATTTTTGACATAAGAAACCGTTGAGAAAATCGAGTGCCCGCTATTAGGATTAAGATAGCACTAAAATGAAACGAACCGCGCGCTAGCCGCTCGGCCGCTCGGCCGACTGCTACTCGTGCGGTTCCAACGTTGCTTGCTGCAATTGCCTTCTTTAAAGAATAAATAATTTCATATTCTAACAGTCTATATGTATTTATTTAAATAATATATAAATGTATTAATTAAGTAAATGAACTATTTTTTTATACAATCTGATATAATATTGAAATTAAACATTTGCTCTCTGCATTTGAGCGGGCTTGAGACCGACGCATATTTAGGATGCGGCCGCATTAAAAATGTTTTTTTTATCGGACCTACACCATAATACTCTTAATAAGTTATTTACAAGTAATTTTACAAAAAAACCCTTTAAATTATGCGTCTTATTTCAAATTCAGAAGATTATGAAGTTTTATTTTACTTTAATTTCCGTTGTATTGTCATCACTAACTGGAATGAATGCATGCAGTGATTGTGTTCCTTGTATAGTAATTTTACTATACAAGTTTTATTTTAATTGACTATACATGCTACTTTCAAAAATTTCATATTCTCCTTGACTATAGTAAATAAACGTTATTTTAGGCATAGCTTGCTTCACCCATTTGTAAAATTCTGCAGAATTACTTATAATTTTACCGAGCAAGCTTTCTCGTCGAGCTAATCTTTTTATAACTCCACCAATTCCATCACACGGACTTTTACCATGACAACTTGCCAAAAAATGCCACTCTGCTCTAATAGAATAAATTCTGTAATGTCGAACTAAGTTTAGAAAATTCATTCTATTTTTATATTGGCTTCCGGCACCATCACTAACATAAATAATTTTTTTACAGTATTTTGAAATGTATTTTTGATACAACTTATTTTTGTATACAACGGAAATTAAAGTAAAAAAAAACTTCATACTCTTCTGAATTTGAAATAAGACGCATAATTTAAAGGGTTTTTTTTTGTAAAATTACTTGTAAATAACTTATTAAGAGTATTATGGTGTAGGTCCGATAAAAAAAAACATTTTTAATGCGGCCGCATCCTAAATATGCGTCGGTCTCAAGCCCGCTCAAATGCAGAGAGCAAATGTTTAATTTCAATATTATATCAGATTGTATAAAAAAATCGTTCATTTACTTAATTAATACATTTATATATTATTTAAATAAATACATATAGACTGTGTAACAGGCTGCCGTTTTACCTTGAACCTATCAAACGTGTCTATTAGTTCGGTCAAACGACGCCTTGTTAGCTACGTGCCGTAAGCACGTTAACTCACCCTGTTCGGGAGTGCGCCTGCGCAGAGTTACCTCACCAATCGGAGTTGGGCTCTCAAACTCTCCGCTTGGAGGCGCTGTCGCGCTTGATTAGCAGCGCTCCGTCGGCCGCTGCTGATAACTCGGTTGGCAAGTCGCTTCTCACGATACCTACGTGATCCGTGCTATTTAACCGGCGCGTTCGAATTGAACGTAAACAATAACACGGCTCGGACAAAGGAAAGTCAAAACAATACCTTAGTAAGAATAACCACTGACCACTTTATTGAATTTAATCCAATACACGGGAGGGATTTGCCGAGAGACTGACGCACGCTGATTCACCCGACAATATAATCGTGGAAAGAGAGAGAGAAAAAGTCGCGATCGCCGCGAACTAACCGCTCGTACGCTCTTGACAATATCGCCGCACTCGCTGTGCGGGATCGCACGCTAACAACAATTAACAATATGGTGCACCTACCGCGGAGTTGTTGGGGATACGGTGGCCAACCGTACCCGATTCGCTCGTTGCTGTTGACGCCTCTGCGCCTATTTCTCCGCTGCCGTAGATGGGTGACTCACTGCTGCTGATGCTGCTGCGGTCACTCTATTCGCTGCGGGAGGTGTTGCTGAGGCTGTTGAGCGTACTCTCGTAGCTGCCGAGGTCGCGCACGTTGAACAATGCGCGCACTCGGCACCCCACTCGTAACTGTTCCGGCAGGTATCGGAGCCACGCACGTTACACAGTGCGTGGATTTGTCTCGCCGCGCCAATTATTACCTCCGGCTAATAATGCACACGTTGTGCAATATGCTCTTCCGCCTCCGCACTCACTAGCAATATACTCGCCTCTCTGGATCTCTCTCGAAAAGGGTAAACACTATCATCGCTCAATGCTCACACGCTATGATGCTACCGGACTGAAGGTCACAGTCATACTGGCTAGCAAACCTTCCCCTCCCGGTCATTGCCCCTACGCGCCCTCTCTCTCTCTCAAACCGATCGCGGCTGCTACGCTCAGCCGCTTCGTAACCTACGCGAGTCAAAACGATTTTCGGCAATCGTTGCAACTGTTAGAATATGAAATTATTTATTCTTTAAAGAAGGCAATTGCAGCAAGCAACGTTGGAACCGCACGAGTAGCAGACGGCCGAGCGGCAGAGCGGCCGAGCGGCTAGCTCGCGGTTCGTTTCATTTTAGTGCTCTCTTAATCCTAATAGCGGGCACTCGATTTTCTCAACGGTTTCTTATGTCAAAAATGACAAGGAACACGATGGTACAAAAATTAAAAAAAAAAAAAATATCGTTTTTTGAGATATCGTCGATTTTTTGAAAAAATTGTTTATAACAATGGCATAAATAAATGATTTGGTATTTTATTATTTACATTTTAAAAGTGAAACTCTTTCCGCGTCTTTTAAAAGAAGAATCATGTCCATATCTTTATTAGTCTCCGAGAAACCGAATTAATAAAAAAAAGTAAAATATTTTTTCAACAGTTGATAAGTCGGCCCCTTATCAATATTTTGATCTCTGCACAGATGTTGACCTCTGTATAGATAACAAGTCTACCAACTTTGAACAAAATTGATGATTTGAAGTTTTAAACTGTTTGAAATAGCCAAGAATTGCCCATAGTCAAAATTCAAAACTTGAATGTACGTAAGCCAGCAAAAATTGAAAAAACATTTTACTTTTTGAACATCTCTCGTACTTATCTGTGTTTTTATAAAGTATGGTACTGATTTAGTATATCTTTAAAATATTCCTAAAATACTCAAATTGTAATTATGTAGTTGTTTTGAGGGGCTACGTTAAAATTCATTTTTAAATCAGTTTTTTTATAACCATTCACAAGTATTCTAAAACTTAAATATTGTAGTGTGTTCTCG